GGAGTGGAAGAAGCAACAATGAGAAGTACAAGCTAGTATTAAAAAAAATCAACTTAGAAGTCAAGAAAAAGCAGTGGCAGTAGAAAGAATTTTTGCTATCATGATGGTTTTCAAACAATATGAGAATTCTCGACCATTACAGATATCAAATCTCATTGATTACCTCTTCAGCATATAATGAAAAGCTAGCTGGATAGTGCTGTACAAGAAGATCACAACATTTGAAAGCCATCAACCGAATATCAATTGCTAAATGTGTCATTGCAGTAAATATGTATGTCATCATTAATGACACAAGTGGCCCTTGATTATCCTGGAAAACAAAAGCAGAGAACAAAATATCAGAGAGAAAAAGAAGTCACAGAAAATGAATAAATGAAATAAAACAATAGGCAAATTGATTATTTCAAAAAAAAGGAAGAAGGCACAATGATAATAATGGAGTATCTTGTTTATAGCTGCAGCAGTCAGTACCCAAGATATGAACTGAAATGGCACCATACACAATTATTTTAAAAGAAAACAAAGTATAAACAAATTGAAGAGAAAGAATAAGTTCCATATGTTTTCAGTGTAATCTCATCAATTTCTAACACCCAAAGTACTAAAAACTATGTTTTTCTTTTGCAGCACAAGCAGTTTGGACGAATAACTTCACAGACTTAAATATGAGAATCAAAGGCAATGGACGTTTACAAAGATTCAAATCGAGATTAAATGCAAACAATGTTATTCAGAGACTCAAAATCTGAGAATCAAACATAATCAACATGAAGGCATCTTCTACGCATATGATTTGCATGTAAAAAGACACACTAGCATGTTTTAATTGCTAAGTTGAAGTGATGCAATAGAGTAGTGGTTAAATTAACTTGTCCCTCAAATAGTTTAGAAAATGAGTAAATTGAAGTGAGAAACAGAAGAATATACATAGATTAGAGGCAACTGTGTATCAATGTGAAGAATTATAGGACAAATAGACAAAGATGTTAGTAAAAAAAGAAAATGAAACAACATGATCCTCAGAAGTTCTTTTCTAGTGATCATAACTTATACAAGTTTTAGAATGACCCAAAAAGAAGAGTTGAGAATATTAGATGGGCAGTACCAAAAATACAAAGAGGAGAAGAGAACTAGTAATAAAAGAAAATACTGGAACAGAAACAACTACATCTCAAAAAGATTTTCAAGCTTATAGCAAAAAATCCTAGTGTCAACCGTTTGATTTGTTATGAGAGTTCAAAATGGAATAATATAGAAGAATCACCTCTTTGCAACCAGGGAAAACTACTGACTTGAGGAGTTGATAAAGTGTTTCTCTCACTATTTCATCCTCATCACTGATTCGCACACGCAGTGTCTCTATAACAGCATATCTGTGTGATCGTAGCTCTGCAGGATGATTTTGGAAGAGATCTCTAATGCCACATAATGCATCTTCAAGGAGAAGCAAACTAAATGTCATTCTAAAAAGTTAGCATCTTGAAACAAAACAAAACTAATACAGGAGCTAAAATCTTATGGGTAAATAGCTAGAAAAGAAATAGCTAAAAAAGAATCAGCTACTCAATCTATATTTATAAATATATCAGTAGCAGAGGAAGGATCAAACAGCAGCAGATTGCCATGCTTTGGCTGTAGAAAGATTCTTTGACTTCTGTGTCTCCTGTTATACAATACTTAGTTTCCTATTCTTAAAAAATGAAAACCTCCAAACTAAGCTACTTGCTGGCCATTACACAGAGCTGAGTACAGAGTTCCTTGTTTTCAGGTCCATTTCATGTATTACGAAATATGCATCTCAATTTTACTTCCAATGGGACTAAAATTTTAATTCTTCCTCACAAATGAAACAAAAAGTTTTACTTAAAAAGGGCCTACAAATGAACCTTGAACACCAACAAAATATCTCTTAAGAGAATTTTCTTCAGCTCAAATACAAGAGAATACCTTTACGAACTTTGGCATTGTGGTGGGATGTCTGTTGAAGCAGTTCTTTCAACGTCAAGCCTTTCTTGCTCACAGCTAAACCTGTCTTTTCTGCTGCCACACTCTGTTCAGGAAGTATAATAGCTGCTCATTACACACAAAAATTTCATCAATTTGGTTAGCTCATCAGAATCAACTTACGAATCAAAATGAGCCCCACTCCCTGTTTTTTTTATATAAAAAAAAAATCACTCTATTCAAATAGTAAGGATTTGTTTTTTTTTTTCTAAGGTTTTGAATATTAATATATTTGAGTCATCATTAATCTCAAGAAGAAAAGAAATATGAACCAAACTGCAGTACCAACAGGCAACAGTGCAAATAGAAAGTTAATAAACTATTCTTTACCTCTGGATTTGATTTGAGTATCTGTAGCATTTTTTGGGGGTGGCAATTTTCTTCCAAGCTTCCGCTTTATTTTCTGCATATTTTAATAAAATTAACATCCTAATAAGTGTTGAAAAGTGCAAATAAAGATTTAAGAAACTTTTATTTATGAAAATACCTTAAAATCAATTCCGCGCTTCTGCTGCTTTTTTGATGCAGCCTTAGAACGCACCATATTCGTATTCTTTGCACAGCAATACGAAGCTTTTGCAATGAAATTATTCTATTATGCCATAAACAAAATAGTATTTCAGTGGCAATACTAAGACTAGAACTCAAAGAAGCTACTAAAGCTGTCCGGAGAAACACAGAGAGAAAGAGAGGAGCAAAGAGGAAGAGTGAGACAAGAGCAAGGTACAAGCGGGATAGATAAGAAGCACACCAGTAAACAGTTTCACGAACGGACACCCACGGAGACCACGGCACGGAGCAGAGACAGACGCGTGAGAGGAAGAAAGCTTGCTCGGATTGGTTGAAGAAGACAAACAGAGCTGCGTTTAGAAAAAAAGAGGCGAGGAAGGAGAAAAGAAGAAGAAGAACGAGGCAGGGGTTTGGGGAAGAAAAGGAAGGGAAAAAAAAAAATTAATTTAAAAATTACAGCTATATTTTCTAGATTATTTTAATTATTAATAATAATTTTTATTACACGTCCGGTGAATAAATAATTAAAATTCATACCAATATTTTCTTAGATTATTTTGACTTATTATTAAAAGTTTATTAAATCTTTTCTTATATTACAAATATAGTTTCTAGGTTGAGTAATACACGTGAAAATAAATAAATAACATAGTGTATGGTTTTTATATTTTTTTGTGTTGAAGTATTATTATGTGTATATAAATATTTACTTGATTTAATACCAATTTTTTTTTTTTACAATCTGTACTATTTGCAACACCTGTAATTTTTGGATAGGATAATATTTGTGATATTTCTCTTAGTTTTAAATTATAAAAACTAAAATAAATTATAAACCTAATTATTCATTTCCTTTGGTGTTAAAAAGTAAATTAAATAAATAATAATTTAACATTTTTTTAAATTTTTAGCCCATTCCGTTGTGACCAAAAATTATATTGAATTTTCCAGTCCTCTAAATTTAAATTGAACATCAGATTAAATTATAATTTATTAAATACAGTTCAGTTTAAAATTTTAATTTTATTAAATTTAATCGAATGAATCACTCATAAAAAAACTTAACCCGATTAAATTAGTGATAACTATTAATTTAAATAAAAAAAATTAATTACCTACTTAGTATTTTATAAAAAAACAAAAAACTCACACACTCTATCTCTCTCTCTCAACAAAAAATTTTGCGAAGAAGATATTTTTGGTTAAACTTTTTTTAAAAAAAATTTAAATTTCTATAAAAAAATTTATAATATAAAAATTACATATATTTTGTTATTATATAATATTATATAAAAATGATAGTAAGAAAATAATTACATAATTATTTTATGAATTATATGTTAATTTCATAAATTTTTTAACATATTTGTACTAAATTACGAACAATAATTTTATCATACAAAAATAATATTAATTATAAATATTAATACTTTAATTATTATATCATAATGTTTTAAATATATTATTTTTAAAATATCAAAGACATAACCCTCAAAATTCCATTACGAGTAGTTCAAAGCCTACAAATGAGAACTCTAGTTCATCAGGTTCTCCAACTTAATGAAAACATACGACATATAATACATATATATTAACATTAAATTTCATTTCAGATACAAAGATTCAAGACACTCTATCTACACCTTGAGAAACGAACTGTTTGACTATACAAGTACAAATTTACCTTCATTTTTTCTTCATCGGCCATCGGCTGAAGTGAAGG